AACAGTTGCCATATGGCTGAGCAATTCCATTTCTGGGTATATGATGAAGAAAAAAATGAAACATACACACACAAAACCCTTGTACACTCATGCATCGCTTAATGACATGATTAGAGAAATCTGTTATTAGGTGAGTTTGTCATTGTGTGAACATTATACGGTACACTTACACAAACCTAAAGAGTATAGGCTATGCTGCATGTATGTATAGTCTATTGCTTCTCAATCTGAGATGAACAAAAGCCATTTAATATTAAAACAGACAAACAGGCATGGTGGTGCATACCTATACTTACAGCATTTGGGAGGCAGAGGCAGGGGGATGCAGAGAGCTGGGCCAGCCTGGGCTACATAGTCTGTTAATAGTTGTGGTTTTGTTTCTTTGTTTTTAAATTGGGGAATGAAAATGCTCTCACATGGATTGTGTGGATTGCTGCATAGTGAAAACCATTGAATTATACCAGCTAAGTGAGTCATCATATGATATATGAGCTACAGCAGAATAAAGCTAGAAGCAGAGCAAAGGGAGAAGGAAGAGGTGGAGTCAGCATCCAGGCAGCAGCTGCTTCCGCTTCCTGGAGGCCTGTATCTCTGTGTGTGGAGCTCAGGTTGCCTTACAGGACAGGTGTAGTGCAGGGTTGAATATCCAGCTCTGGCCACCCCTTCACACAATTATGTGAGTGGCCTCCTACCTAGAGCCACAGAGGGATTACCAAATTAAATCCCGGCCAACCCATAGAATACTTAAGAGACAGTTAAATGGTGATTGTTTCAAGCCACCAAGTTTGAGAGTAATTTTTTTCTTATTTTAAAATAATTATTATCATTTTCAATGTTTGAGTATTTTGCCTACATGTATGTCTTATGTATCACGTGAATGCCTGGTGCTTATGGAGGCCAGAAGAGGATGTCAAATCCCCTGAGACTGGTGTTATAGATGGCCATAAACCACCATGTAAGTGCTGGGACTTGAGCCTGGGTCCTCTGGAAGAGCAGCCAGTGCTCTTAACTGCAGAGCCATTTTTTTTTTTATATACCAGAACAGACCAAGTAGTAAGTCAAATTCATGCTTTAACAGGGAGACTTCATCTAAATACTAAAATCCAATCCTGAGAACGACTTTTGGTCTTAAAAAGAGGAACCAGAATGGGGACGGACATTACTGGATTGTGAGGGGAAATGAGCTGGGGACACCGGGGGTTTTTAAATGGCAAGAGATGAGCCTGCCAGCTGGCCGCTTTCCTGAAGCCTTGGCAGGAGGAGCTCACCAGCCACTTGTCCAGAGGCCACCAGCTACTTAGCAGGAGTTCTCAAGGACGGAGCAGATCGTATTTCTGGTTACAAGAAGCAGCGTGGAGTAACCCCATGCACTTGTCCTCTTGGCACCCTAAGAGGAAAGCGACCATGCAGGAAGAAGCCGAAGCGGAGCTGCAGGCTAAGAGCCTGTGCCAGAAACAGAGAGAATTTTAAAAAATCGTTCTAATTACGTTACTTATAGATTCATCTGTTTTGTGTGTGCATGTGTGCATGCCGTGGCACACATGATATTCAGAGGATAACTTTCAGCAACAGGTTCAATCCTTCCATGGGATAGAACTCAGAGCTTCGGGCTAGGAGGGGAAGCGCCTTTACCCAGCGAGTCACTTCATCAACCTGTGGAGAGGCTTTTACTTATTTATTTATTTAAAGAGAAAATTTTAAGGTAGAGTCTCACTGTGTTGCCCAGGCTGGTCACGGATGAGAGAGCCTTTCATCTTAGCCTCCTGAGTATTAGGGATAAAAGACATGTGCCACCACACCTGGCTTTGTGAGGGCGTCGTTTTAATGCTGTGTAGCAAGGAATACATAATAATGAGCTATTTTATTTATTTATTCATCAGCATTTTTTTTTTTTGGTAAACATGTTACATTAGGAAACACCTATAAACAGCTTAGATGGGGCCTGTGATCTCTAAATGTTCACTTTCAAGTAAACAGATGATTCCTGGGTGGTTCTAGAAGAAATACAGTGTCCAGACTGTATATAGACCCGAGAGTTCTCACAGGATGGGAAAACTTAGGAGACTGGTGTTTCTTCTATTTTCATTCACAATACCATGAGCATCCACAGAAGTGGAGGAATGGTGGTGGTCCTTATTGGTCCTGTGCATGCGTCCTTCTGCCGTTCCTGCTGGAGTCTCATCACCAACACTGGCTCCCAGCTCTGGCTCTGCAGGGGTTTCTCCGATGTAATTTTGTTTCTAGGTCTTGGCAATGCTATTTCGTCTTTCTCTCCGTGCTCAGAGATGTGCAGTATGTTACACATTTTTTTCATTCTCCATTTATATCAGTGTGTTTCATTGGTCAGTTATCAAAAAACTACTAGTAGTTCAAACAGCTGTGATGTCCTGTTTCTTCCAGTTCTATGGGTCACATGGGAGTCGCTCTGCTGGTTTCTCTTGGGCTCCTTCGTGTGGTTGCTGGTGGGTCAGACAGAGGGTTTCTGTTGGGCTGGCAGGTCCAAGATGGCCTCTGTCATGCTTCTGAGTGTTGGTCCTGGCTATTGCCTCGTACCCTGATTCTCCCTGGGGCCTTTCTCCTAGAAGCCTACACCTGCTTCTTCCATGGTCACTTCTGGATGGCACCCCCAGGTAAAGGCAGACATTTGTTCAGAAGCCTCCTGTTACAGTTCTAATGTCACTTTGCTTCATCTTGTTGTCATGAGGCCAGTCACAGGTTCCTCACTTGGGGACAGCAGAGAGGGAAGAAGCAAGAGGAAGTGTTTATCTAATTATTCTTTATCAGTAAAAACTCAGGAGTCAGATATCGGGGTAAGAACCTGAATGATCGGAGAAGCGACCAGTGACCTCCTCTCTCTCTCCTTCGTTGATCCAAAAAGGGCCAAGAATCTTTTCTAACCCCCCACTACTGGTTCCTGTGCCTCTCTATATGTCCTTGGTCCTCTGAAACCTCTATGGCTAATTTTGGTCAGCAAGTGGCTAGCTCCGCCCTCTAACCCAAGGTAAACTTTATTGGCAGTCTCGGGAGTGTCAGAGTGTGATCAAAATATCCCACAACAAGATGATCTTCTTGTGTGTCTTCTTTTCAAAAATTTTAAAAGTATTTATTTATTATTTATTTGTTGGTATGTGTGGATGGTGTGTGGATGTGAGTATGGGCCTATGGATGTCACAGCAAATATGTGTGGATGTCAGAGGGCAACCCTGTGGAGTTGGTTCTCTCTTTCCACCTTTATATGAATTCTGGGAGTCAAGGTCTTTGGGCTTACATGGTGTCTTAGTTTGGGTTTCTATTATTGTGAAGAGACACCATGACCACAGCAATTCTTATAAGGAAAACATTTAATTGGGTGCCTCGCTTACAGTTTCAGAGGTTCAGTTCATTGTCATCAGGTCGGGGAGCATGGCAGCATGCAGGCAGATGTGGTGCTGGGAGCTGAGAGTCCTACATCTTGCAGGCAACAGGAAGTCAGCTGACTGTCACACTGAAGGAAGCTTAAACAAAAGAGACCTCAAGGCCCACCCCCACAATGACACACTTCCAACAATGCCACACCTCCTAATAGTGCCACTCCTTTTGGGGGCCATTTTCTTTCAAACCACCACACATGGCCTGTGCCTTTGCTTTCTGAGCCATCTCACTGGCTCTCTGTCACGTCTCTTCTAATCAAATCATAAGAGCTTCAGTCTCAAAAGCTATTTTTGCCCAAAGTCCCCATCTCTAGGTGCCATCACTTTAGAGACACGTAAATTGGGGGTGGGGACACATGCAGTCACTCCAAAGTTATTTTAACATGGTGGTCTAGGAAGTGGAATTGGAAAGATGTTATTAGCCAAGTTAGAAAGACAGGCCGATGCATTGTAAAAGCCCTGACTAACCCACTCTGCATTCTTTCTTTATATGTGTGCTATATTTCTTTATGCTGCATTTGTTTTGTTTCGTAAAGGTGTGTTGCTTTTGTTGATGCTGCATTTGTTTGTAAAGATGTGTTATTGTTTCACCTTGCCTGCCTAAGGCATCTGATTGGTTTAATAAAAAGCTAAACGGCCAATAGCTAGGCAGTAGAGGGATAGGCGGGGCTGGTGGGTAGAGAGAATAAGTAGGAGAAGAAATCTAGGAACAGGGGAGAAGAGAGAACGAGGGAGGAAGGGAGGGAGATGTCTGGGGCTAGAAGCCAGGCAACCGCCAGGCCGCCAGCTAGACATGGAGGAAGCAGGAAAGTAGGACATACAGAATGAAAGATAGGTAAAAAGCCCCAAGGCAAAATGTAGATAAAGAGAAACAGATTAAAACAAGAGCTAAGATAAGACAAAGCATTTGCCGGGAGGTAGTGGCGCACGCCTTTAATCCCAGCACTTGGGAGGCAGAGGCAGGTGGATCTCTGTGAGTTTGAGGCCAGCCTGGTCTACAAAGCGAGCTCCAGGAAAGGTGCAAAGCTACACAGAGAAACCCTGTCTCAAAAAAAAAAAAAAAAAACAAAAACAAACAAACAAACAAAAAAAGACCGAGCATTCATAACTAATATTAAGTCTCTGTGTCATGATTTGGGAGCCCATTGGTGACCCAAAAGAAAAAGCCTGGTACACTTCCCTTCTTCCTTTCTTTCTTCCCTTAGGGGTGTGAGTGTGGCTGGGAACCAAGCCCAGGGCATAGTAAACACTATGCCGATGAGCCAGACCCCCAGCGCTGCCACTGCTTGTCAAGGTGGCTAACTGGAATGCAGCCAATGAAGAGTAGACATGCAGTTTGTGTTCCCAGTTTTTGTTTAAATACCAGGAGAAAAGGCATCTTGTTCATTTCCTGACACAGATCGTCCCTTGGAATTGACGTTCGTAGCCGCATATGACAGCTACATCTGTCTGTCTGACAGTTCTTCTGTGGTACTTCCCGGAAGCCTCCGATATGCTTCCTGGAAGCCTATGTTGTCCGATTTCAGATGAGCTATTTTCCTTCTATTTACATTGGCTTTTCTTTTCCTTGTTTTTTTTTTTTCCTCCCAGACTGATGAGTCCGGAAACCACACTCCTCCAGCCCAGGGAAGAGGAAGGGGTGAAGTATGAGAGAACCTTCATGGCTTCTGAATTCCTAGACTGGTTGGTTCAGGAAGGAGAGGCCACAACCAGGAAAGAGGGAGAGCAGCTGTGCCACCGGCTTATGGAGCATGGCATCATACAGCATGGTGAGTGTATCAGTCAGCGCTTGCTGCAGTGACAAACGATCCCATAACCTGTGATTTGTAATAACATATACTTACTTATTCTTGGGTTTGTAAGCCAGCTGTGCCTCTGGACAGTGTCACTTCCCTCTATGTTGAGAGTCAAGTTTACATCTGTTTCTTACCTTGCCCGATCACTGTGAGATCAGTTTTTTAAAGGGATATGTTATTTTGCAGATGTTTCAGCAGACACTAAAGAGGAAAGGCAAAGTCTTTTTAATTTGATGTCTGTGGGTGTTTTGCCTACACATGCATCTGCACCACATCAGTGCCTGGTGCCCACAGAGGCCAGAAGAGGGTGTCAGATCACCTGGGACTGGAGGTATAGATGGGGTTGTAATTGCCGTCTGGATGCAGATAGTTGAACCTGGGTCCTCAGGAAGAGCAGACAGTGCTCTTAATGGCGGAGCCATCTCTCCAGCCCAGGAAGGCAGATTCTTACAGAGCTTCCAAAAGCTCTGCTTAGATGTGATATCACATCACAGTTCTATATACAACTGGCCCTCACAGTCATATAGTCACCTTGAAGATTGGAAGTTCAAGGTCATTCTTGACTACCTAGCAAGTTCAAAGCCAGCTCGAGCTACCCAAAATCCTCTCTCAAAAACAAGCATGAAAATAATTCCCTAATGGAATAAATAGTTTTGTTTGTCAGATCTACTGTCCATGACCTTAAGGAAGCAGTGTTTGGGACAGGAGAATGAACTGTGATACAAGCTGCATGGTGAAGAGATAATACACAAGGGCTTTGTAAGCGTTTTCTTCCTGTGGGATAAATTTTAATGATGCAATATAACCTCTGGTGAAGAAGTTTATTATCTTTACTGCATAACAAATAACTTTAAAGTTTTAACAGATAGCATACCAAATGACAGTCTCTGTGGATCAGGAATTGGGGTGAGGCTTAGCTGGGTGGTTCTTATTGGGGGTCTCACCTGAAGCTGTGGCCACACTGTTTGGCAGGGCTCCAGGACTGGAAGATTCATTTCCACAAAGGCTCACTGTTGCTGAACTCCACCAGGTTCAGCCAATTACTTTCTCTTCTGAGGATGACCTCATTGGGCGAATGTAGGCATAAACAAGAGTAGACACAGAGCTCTCATCTAATGGTCCTGCTCTTAGTAACAGCCCACTCAGTTCATTTCCCCGCAAGGTGTGGGCTTGGGACAAGGAGAAGAAAGTCGGAAGCATGTGGTTGTTTCAGCCCAAATCCATAGAAATGGTGATAGTAGAGGCTGTGAGCTCCTTCCTTCCCCTAACCCTCCTCCCTTCCAAGCTGAGAATTTCTGTCCCAAGAGTATGAAACTTGAGAAATAATGAACAATGTTTTCCTAACTCTAGAACGCATCCCTGTCGTGGGTCATGAAATGCACGCCCACCACTACACATGTGTGGATATCAGAGGACTTGCCAGAACCTGTTCTCTCCTTCCGCCCTGGTTCCCAGGAATCACACTCGGGTCATCTGGATTGGCAACAAGCACCTTTACCCACTGAACCATCTCACTGGCCCTGTGCCATAGTTTTCGAAAGCCATTTCCAGCATTAGAAATAATTCATACGCATGTTCGTTTTTACCCCTCATTGTGCCCTCTGTGGACCTTCAGTATTACCTGGGAACATGATAGAAATGCAGAAACTTTTGCCCTGTCCACATTCTGCTGAACCTCATCTATATTTCACCAAGATCCCCATGACATTAGAATGTACCTAAGGTGCTGAGCATGACGGCATATGTCTGTAATCTCAGCACTGGGAGGTAGAGGTTGGAAGATAAGGAGTTCAAGGTCATCCTTGGCTACATATCAAGTTCAACATTAAAACATGAGAGGTACTAAGCCCAACTATAATAGAAAAGAACAGAGCACAATCATGTAGTAAACAAGCATTATTTTACAAAGCTCTTATTTATAATACAAATTATGTAAATACTGATGTTCATCTAGTATATGTACCTACGGAGAGGCATACATAGTGAGATACGGTCATGTGTTGCAACCTAAAAATGATTTGTTACCGTGTGCTGGGGTCAAGTATTTGGAAAGCCACTGATGTGGAGGTGTTGGCTCCTTTGGCTGCCAGTGTATTCCAGGGCATTCCATCATGTCCACTACTACCATGCTGAACTCACACCTAGCTGTTGAGGACCTTACATGTCCGTGGTTGGATTAGGTTCAATGAAGATGGGAGTTGCAGATAAAGCATGGTGTCAGACTGTTCCCTGGCCTTCTGCAGCTCATAGTCCTGTGACTGTAAACTATAGAGTGGAGCTAGAAGAATCCATAAACGGTAGAGGATACTTTATGTGTGTGAGTTCTTTGCCTGCATATATGTATATGCACCACATGCATGCCTGGTGCCCACAGAGGCCAGAAGAGGACATTGCATCCTCTGGAACTAGATGGTTTTGAGCCTTCGGATGGGTTCTGGGAGAGTTGAACCTAAGGCATCTCTCCAGCCCTTGATCATTGTATTCTTAGGAATTTAGTTGAACTTCTTAAATCTAATAAGGTAGATATTCTTTATATTTTTACTGCATGTGATATGCTGTCTGTCATCTTAACAAAGCTGTGAGAGTACAATGCAGTATTGGTGACTAAAAGGCAGCTTTTCTTATTATCTCCATTTTATGGTTCAAGAAATGAAGATATCAATATGTTAAACAGTTGTGTTAGAAGCCACTCAGGTAGAAGTAGTCAAGTGGGTATTACTGCTAGTTAAGTGTGAACTTGGAGTCAGTTAGAGTGGCTGCCTTTTTCCCTAGTGAGCAAAGACAGTTTTTGGTTTGAATCTACCATCATTTTGCTCCAGGGAAAAAAGCCAGATGATACCAAGTTCTATGAGAAAACCAGTTTCTTACACAGCAGTCTACTGACTCATTCTGTACAGGAGAGAAGATACCAGATGCCATGAGTTTTTTCCAAGTTATTTCCAAGGGATGAGTAATTATACCTCAATTACAGTGTGGTTTTATAATGCTGTAACCTCCATGCCATACAGGTGAGCCATCGCAGATAAAATCAAGGCATTATTAATAGAGAATCTGAGTGTGGGAGCAGGGCCTTCCAGCTGTGTAGGAGGACTACAGATTCCATATGTAGAATCTGGAAAGCAAACTCATTTCCCGACAGATTTCACTGCTACATCACTGACTCAGAAGTAGGAAAACAGTGTCCCCATAGTTACTGTCCTCAGAGACACTCTGAAATGTCTAGCCACTTTCACAGGTTAAACATTAAAGCAAGTTGCCCCTTATGCTTTGACTGAATGAAAGTGGTTCCCTAGGTTGAAACTAGTCAGTGTGAGCATCAGGCCCTCTCAGGAAGAACTTAACTTTGCCTATGAATGGTAAGCAATGCTCTTACTAAGGAAAGACTTGTTAGATGAGTAATTAGCTGGCATTCATATTTATGGACATGCCTGTGTCTGTGCAGGCATATATACATAATTACAAATGCCTATATGATGAACATATGTTCATACTTTTCTAGTTCACTTGTTTTTTTTTTTTTAAACTCAAGTCCCCACACATAGGAGATAAGTGCTCTACCACTAAGTTATAGAGACAGTCGTGTGTTGTATGTGTGTGTGTGTGTGTATGTGTATGTGTTGCGGTGTGCACCTGCAGCTTGTGCACATACCCTTTGAAGAGTCTTAATCTATTTGCCACACTGGTCCAAACTCACCTTATAGCCTAGGCTAGCCTCAAACTCACTTGTATCCTCCCACTTCAGCGTCCTGGGTGCTGGGATTGTAGGTATGCGCTACCACACCTGAGTTTTCAGCCCTACTTTGCATTTTGACACAGGGTCTTACCAGGTTACCTGGGCTGACCTTGAACTCTTAATTGTGCAGGTAGGCCTTGAATTTGCAATCCTCTTGACTCAGTCTCCCGAGTAGCTGTGATTACAGGCCTGTACCACCAGGCCCAGCTCTTTCTTACTTTCTAATGCATTTATGTTTACTATATACCTGGGCTAAATATTTCGTAATATATTAGGTAGCTTATATGTATGTATTTCACTCATATGATTGTATATATTCTGATTAAACCCATAGAGGCTTAGCACATGTCTGAAATACCAGTACTGGTGGAGGAAATGCCGAAGTAAGAAGGTTGTAGGTTGGATGACAATTAGACCTACATAGTAGGTTTCTGATTAGCTTGGCCTACAGAATGAGACTTGGTCTCAAAAATACATATGTACATACATCATAATTCTTGTAGTAGTTCTATGACATTGCTATAAGTACAGAAACTTAACAGTAAAACTTTATGAGGTTCAAAGCCTTTTAAGATATTTTGCTGGAGCTGGAGAAATGCCTCAGCAGTTAAGAGCACTGACTACTCTTCCAGAGGACCTGGGTTCAATTCACAGCACCCATATGGCAGCTAACAACTGTCTGTAATTCCAAGATCTGACACCCTCACACAAACATACAGGCAGGCAAAACACCAACGCACACAAAGATAAATAAATTATTAAAAAATATATATTTTGCCAAAGTTGCCCAAATAGGCTGTAGCAACTATAAGCACTGTGCCTAAGAAAGAAGTTCATATGAGCTATGGGTACAGCTCAGTTGGTAGAATGCTTGCCTAGTGTGACTGACACCCCAAGACTGATGGTCAACGCCACAAAAACTAGGCATGGTGGCACTTGTCTGTAATCCCAACATTTAGGAGGTAGAAGCAGGAGGGTCAAAAGTATCAAGGCCATCTTTGATTACATAGTGAGTTTGAGGCCAGCCTAAGCTAGATGAGACCTTGGTCGAAGATGAAGAAGAGGGGCTGAAGAAAGGGCCCTGTGGTTTAGAGTGCTTGTTGCTTGTGCAGAGGACCTGGGTTGGGTTCCCAGTACCCACATGGTGGTTCACAACCTGACATAACTTGAGTTCCAGAGGATTCAATGCCCTCTTCTGAAACAGAAGGAGGAGGGAACTTCTCTGGGCCCAGTATGTGGG